TTCCCTTAGTGGTTTTATTTTATAATGTTTTAATTTTGCCTTAAATTTTGAAGGACATTGTTTTCTAGTCACAGAATTTTATGTTGACAGTTTCTTTTGCTTTCACCATTGCATTTCTTTAAAAAATGCATTTCTACTGTTTTTTAGCTTCCATTATTTCTGATGAGAAGTCAGTCATCATTCACCTCATTGCCTTGTATGTAAAATGTCAGCCCACCACCACTCCTGGTACTAGGGATTAATCCCATGTCCTTTGCATTGTGCTACATCCCCAGCACTTTTATTTAATTATGTATGTATGTATTTATTTATTTATTTATTTATTTATTTTTGAGACAAGGTCTAGGTCACTAAGTTGCCCAGGCTGGGCCTGAATTTGTAATTCTCCTACCTTAACCTCCAAAGACTAGGATTCCAAGCTTGTGCCACCATGCCCAGCTAAGTGTCATCTTTTTCTTGCTACTTCTGAGATTCTCTTTGTTAACTTTCCTTATCAGCAGTTTGACCATGATGATAATGAGCAGTTTTGTCTGCAATTCCTTACCAGCATCCCCACTGCTCTCCAGTACTCTGTGGTAGCTCGAAACTCTGCCCTCTCATCCTCCAGTTCGGTAAGACTAGTGTAGCCAGGAAACCTCCCAGTGTGGAGTTCGCTGGAACCCAGTGATGAGTTGGAAGAAACAGGCAGCTCACTCAGTGCTCCTCTTTCTTCCTAGTCTTGCGCCTTCCAGTTTCTGTCTGCTTTTGGTCACTCTCCTCATTGTGGAGATACTGGTTGGCATTTCTATATTGTCTAGAGATTCTAGGCAGCAGCTACATGAGAATTGTCACACTAGAAATTACTCTGCAATTGATATAAAATATAATAGAACTTAATGTAAAGACTGTTGACTAGATACTGAAAACGCAAAAAGCAAAAAGAGTACACCGGCATACCATGGAGGAAGCAGCTGCAGGAATAAGCTACCAGCTGAGCCTAGGGGAGGCAAAAAGAAGAGGTTGAGTTATTAAAATTTAGAAGCTTCAAGGAGGCTGGAATTAATGTCACTAAGGGGGTATGTAAAGGTGCTCCTAAAAGTGTTAGAAAAATGAAAACACTACTGGTGCAACAAGGGAGCATCGCAAGGGTAAAACTCTTAGCCACAAAGGCAGATAAAGATGCAGCTCCTTCTCGAGCCTTCCATGCTCTGCCTAGCACCCTTTGTTGGCACAATCTAGCACAATAAATGAAAGGACAAAGTGTAAATGTAGTTTGTGGCCCCAGTATCACAAAACAGAGCATAAAAGAGTTTGCTCTGAAGCCAAACAACAGTAGCTTAACGCGGCGCAGCTCGGGCGTTGGCTGCTTAGTATTCATACACATTCTTCATCACATGCTTGAATACCCAGGCAACAGAAGTAAATCTTTTTCTTCCTGACAAAAGACAACTGTCTTTCATGCAAGTGAAGATCTCCCAAAATAAAGCCACAAAGTGACTTCCAAGAAACTTCTCCAGTTCTGGAGTTCTGTGAAGATTGGCTTCCTTCACATTGGCTTCCCCTTCTCCAGTCGCTTAGGGATTTGCTGCTTCTATTCCCTCCTCAGCGCTTCCGTTCCTAATACCTTGTTAGCCTGTCCTATCTAGTATTGCTGTCTCTGCTCTCCTATTCTATTTTCCCTTGTAGGTTTATACTTTTAACTTCTTTTTTGGTCATTTCTGTGGATTTAGGGAGAAAGGATAAATGGATCCATTTTGCAGTAGGTACTGTCATGTTGGAGAAGGGCAGAATGGGGATGGAGTGTGGGCTGCTGGAAACAGCTTGTAGATACAGTGCTTGTGATGCTGGTGGGATTTAAATAGGTGGAAGAAAGGGGTCATGCTGCAGCACACGGGGAGAAATCAGTGTGGTGGGCATCGGGAGACCTGCGTCAGCAAGAGGATGTGTACAGGACGGTGTACATGTGGAGGAGCATGCCTGGGCTACTCCTGTGAGGTAGCAGCAGTGGATGTGCAGTGAGAGCCTTTAAACCCCAAGAAATTTGACTCTGTCACTGACAAGGAGTTTTTAAAAATCTTTTGAATATAAACTAAATATAACTGAAGTAGTAATTCAGAGGATTCACTCAGCATGCTGAATAAAATGAGCAGGAATGCAACAAGATTTATAAGCAAGAAACCTAGCCCACTTTGTTTTCTAGACTCTTAAGACTTTCAACTTTCTGTTGAAACATTTTTCTCTTTAAGATACAGTACTGTACATATATAATTAATTTATCAGCAGACTTAACATCATAGTATTTAATTTATTTTGAAAGTTCTGAGTTTTGCTGAACACACAGGCATGCCTGTAGTCTCACCCTCCTGGAAGCTGAGTTGAGAGGGTCACTTGAGTTTAGGAGTTTGTGTCCAGACTGTGCAACATAGTAACCAAGACCTATCTCAAAATTAAAAAAAAAAAAAGTTACAAGATGTAACAGAAATCTTAAGTAGCCAAAACATTGCAAGCTACTATTCCTGGACTATTTGAAGAGAAAGTTGATAAAATGACTTTGATCTGGCTGTTTTCAAGGATCTTGAAGTTGGTGTTTAATTTTGAATTTTGTATTTTTGTATCAAATTTCGAGTGTTCTTATGAATATTTTCACCAGGAAGTCAATCATTCTGAATTGTCCTAGTTACATATTGATAGATTTTACATGATTTTATTATAGAACATTTTTTGTTTTTTTCACATGTAAAGTGAAAACCAGCGGAAAAAATATTAAATGAAAATTTGCCTTTAAATAATGAATGCTTTTATGTAAATATAATGATATACACGTGTACTCTAGAATACCATAAATCTAGTTTCTACTAGGACTAATTAGCATTTTTAACAGGACCTTTACCAACTAAATATAACTGGGCCATATGCAAATTAGTAGTATTTTTAGGAGTTATTTTCATTTACCACTTTTGAGTTTCCTTTAATCCTTATTAAGTTATTAAGCTGTATCCAATTTATTTTTTTTTCTTTTCAAAGTTTTATTGATAAACAGATAGCAATGAGACAGTTTCAAATCAAATCGAGAGTACAGTTTCAACAAATAATACACTGCATATATTCTTCTTAGTGGTTAATTGCTGTACAAGATGCAGACTTGTGATCCTACTTACAAACACCATTAGAAAAAATCATTCTATTCATTAAGAGAATGCAACTATATATCTATCCCAACCACTTTGAATACACAGATACAAAATGGACATTCATAGTTATATCCCATTTTTTTTAAGTTCCGTTATTGAATATTATAGGTGTGTAACCTCAGCTGTATCCAATTTAGCAAAACACATGCATTACTTTTTTAAAAATCCTTGGGGCTGGGGAGATAGCTCAGCAGTCTCAGTGCCTGCCTGGAAAACTCAAGAACCCAGGTTTAATCCCCAGTACTACATGTTGTGCCAACCCTGGAACCTTAGGCACACCATGCTGGCCACCAAAACTTGGCATGGTAGTGCACTCCTGTAATTTCAGTGCTGAGAAGGCTGGGACAAGAGGATGACTATGAGTCTGAGCTGCATAGTGAGACCCTGTACCAAATAAATGAATGAATGATTTTTAAATAATTCTTTTGCCTCAGTTACACTTTCACCCAGCAAACATTGAGTGCCAGCTAAGACTGGCAGTGTTAGGTGTTGGGATCCAAAGACAACTCAGAAAAGGTCTCCTGAAGAGACTGTTGTCAGGGGAAGACCTGTAATGAATGAAGTATTTTCATTAGCCATGGAGCACTGGGCAGGACATGATTTTATGGACAGTAATATGTTAGAGCAAGGAGAGAAAAGGGCTAGGCAAGATTTAGAGAAAAAAGTGGTACTTGAATTGAGTTTTATAAGGGATGTTGGAAAAACATGGAATTCCTAATAAAAATACTGATATGTTTGTTAAATTGTCTAATTCTTTCTATATACCAGAAACTTTTTTCTAGCCTCCATCTATGGGTGAAAATGGAAATAATTTGTTTTTGCTTTAATAGTGTATATCCTAAAAGTGATGATGAAAGCATATAAGTGTGTATTATGAATAGTTTATAATGTACATTGTGATAGGGAATTGCATGATCTCTGCATCCTCTTCTCTTTTGAGAGTTTCAAATTATACCATCAACTTTCTGCTCTCTCTCACCTAGTTATGCTTTTGATTTTACTAACTCAAAACTCTTAGTAGTTTGTCTTTCTCTTTATCTCCAGGTTCAGGTGAAACTCTTTAAAAACAAGCTCTAACTTTGAGTATAAATAATAATTTACATCTAAAAATTCAGACTAAGCCCATAATTCATAGCCTCAACACTCCTAGATCAACTCCACCTTAAATTTCAGTTCCATAAAATGTCTTAAGTGTCTTCTATTGGTAATAAAAGTGTGTATCTGTTGTGTTCCAGGCTTTCTTCTAGGTTCCTTCAGATCCTTAACTTAATGGAACTTAAATTTTAGTCATTGTCAGAATATCTCAGAAAGGTTGGGGTTTTTCCAATGTAGACAAATAATTATTAAAATTATGCTAGTAAAATACTGAGTTTCTTTAATGTGTCTTTCATAGGTACTATGGGGAAGACATTTTTTATTTCAGAGGAAAAAGAAATTTTTATAACTACAGGTCCTATAAGGATAGACCAGTATGATGTGGCACATTTTCCCTAGTTTATTTCATGAAAGATGAAAGTTTGAAGGTACTAAAAATATGGTGGTTTCAAAGACAGATAAGTGGGTGAAGGAAGAAATATTTAAAGATGGGTTATTTGAAGCTTCCTTTGCCTTGTATTTTAGTGAGGAGAAGGGGACAAGGCATCCACCAAATGACTAAGGCACCAATTATAGCTTGAGTGTACTTTAAATAGCATATAGAAGCATAGTAAGAAAGCAAAGAACTAAATAGGAAAGAATTCTGTTATGGCATTAAAATCCTATTTATTAAAATTGCAATGAATTTGAAATAATTTTCATTTTTTATTGTAGCTCTTATTTGTTACTTTACAGATGCTATGCCTACCTCCTCAGAAAAAAGTCCCTCTCTGCAGACAAGTGTGAGCTTGGACAAGGAATCAAAGAACACCAGTTCGAATACTGTAATAGAAAACCCCTTTCAAACACCTCAGGGAAAGCAAGAAACCATAAAAACTGTTGAAATGTTGACAACTTTACCAGCATGTTGGTCAAGTAAAGAAGAATTTAGCAGCCCCAATTCAAGGCTGTCAAAGTCAGAGTCTACTTTCTATAACCAGTCTTCTGTAGAGACACTGTATGTCTCTCCCTCTTTCAAAACAGTTAAACCAGTAACGGAGATTGTAATCGGTAAGGACCTTCAGAAGCCAACACAAGCCAGCACTGTTCAGATGGATAATGAAGACCTTAAGACCTTAAATACATGGGGTGAGTCTCCTCACAAAAACATACTCTTTTTGAAACGTTCTTCTATTTTTCTCTAGGACTCTTTTGGTCTCTGTCTCTCTCAGTATTGAGGAGATCCTTCATCAGTGATATTAAAATGTACATGCTATAGAGGTACTTCCGAGCTGGAAAAGTTTCCCTTTATTAAAGGAGTAATAGATAATTTTCCACTGGGTATTAGAAAGTATTAATTGAATGTATTATTATGAGTTCTGAGTAATTTTGATGCTAACCAAATTAGAAGAAACAGGGGCATTGGAGATAGCTCAGTGGCCTAAGTGCCTCTCTGGCAAGCACAAGGTCCCAAGATCAGTCCCCAGTACCAAAAAGTGTCAGATTCAAATTAGAAGGAACCAGCATTAACAGAGAGCTTCCTTTTATTTAGATTACTTATTAAGAGATTGTATCAAAAGGATTGATTACTATGTATACGCATGTATGTGTGCTCTTGGGAGTATTGATTACCTAAAAGGAGCAAAGAATTGTCTCTGTCTTTGTAAAACATTAAGAGAGTTGTAACATTATTTAAGCTAGTGATAAAGGATAAAGCCATTTAGGATTCCAGGTTGTTAGCTGTTGGTTATTAAATCCTGCCTTATTTAATTATGCTTTCTTCTTTAAAGCTAATTAGTAAATGAATAACTTGTTTACTCATGCATTTTTTAAAGACTAAGTAGTTTATTGGTTCGTATGTAGGGTAATGTTTGACAATTTGCATAAATTAAAAGCTTTCAAATATAAATCTTTTAAACTGCTCCAAATACAAATCAAAAGTACAGATAAATATAGGTAATGGGAGCCATCACATTGAGATTAATGAAATTTACTGTGGTTCTGTTAAAGTCAGTGAAAAATGAAAACAAAAATTTCCTCTTTCTTTTTTGAGACCTTTTGACACTGCATAGCCCAAACGGTTGAAGAACTGATTCTTGGTTTTGTCACCAGAATGTGAACTTTCATGCTGAGACTGCAGTTGTGGAAACCAGTCAGTCCTAGTTATGATGGCTCTGAAAGCTCGTGGTTCAGCTGTCCTTTAAGTTAATTTTGATTCTTTTCTTTCATAAATACCACAAAAAGATAACTGAAAATAGTTTTTGGCCACTGTCTTTACACCAAATATTCTCAATAAAACTCAACCAGAAGTTCCAATAAAACCAGCTAGCAGAAAGACTTTGTATGTTGGCTATAAAGAGTGATGTAAGTCATCATAAAGCAGTCAAGTTAGAGAATACATACTGAGTCTAGAGCTCTGGAAAAAGGACCTTGAGATGTGCTCTAGTTTAGATCTAAAATGTCCCCTTAAAGTATTATGTATTCAGAAGTGAGGCTTTTGGAAGGTGGCTGGGTTGTGGGTCTGTTAGATTCATCAGTAGGTTGAACCATTAATGAGTTCATAGCTAACTGTGCTGTTGGGGCTGGACCTGGGCCCCTGGGGATGTGCCCTGGAAGGGTGTGAGGTTTTTGTTTTTTGGTCTTCTGTTTTGTTTTATAAAAGTGTCTAAGTCAGTTGTCCAGGCAGGGTTTAAACTTGAGATTCTCTTGCCTTAGCCTCCCCAAGTGCTCATTACAGGGTGTGCCACCACACCTTGCTTGTATCTTCTTATCCCTGCCTCCTCCTGCAGTTCTGTGCTGTCTGACAGCCATGGCAGGAGCAGCTTCTCTCTGCCATGGCCCTCTCCCATGGACCATGAGCCAAAGTAAACCTTGCCTCCTTAAATTGTGACATTGGGCATTTTGTCCCAGGGACAAGAAAGTGACTAAGGCAAGATGAGCCCCACATTCCCTCAGTTCCCTCTCCTGCTTTGATCAGAGGCCTGGGTTTTCCAGTTTCATTTGGCTTGGGAAACGGAGTTGAAGTTTGGGGTTTCCCAAGTGCCAAGAATTCAAAAAAGTCAATATTCTAGATGATAGGGAATCACATAAAAGAAATTCTAGAAGTCTTTTGTAATTACGTACTGTGAACTTACCTATGTTCCGGATGAGATGCCAAGAACTAAGTATGAAACCGCTTCTGAGAGGTTAACAAGTGAAGCAGAGATTCTGATATCTTGTGATACTAAGAGACCACCATTGGAATTCAGAAGATGGCAAACTGTAGAAGCCCTGTAATACTCCAGGCTTGCAGTTGGGACTGCTGACAAGCTGTACCTTGAGATCAGGTATAGATCAGAACTAGGAGTAAAAACAAATCAGAACTAACACAACCCTCACAAATACTGAAACCTTGCTTCACCTTAGCCAAAGTGATGATTTTTGTATTCCACCTGCCTTCTAGAAGGTGTTTGCCCTTTCTTGAGAACTTCTACAACTTTACACACAAAAAAAGTTGGCATTAAAGAAAAGTTACCAGGGCTGGCCAGATAGCTCAGCGGACTAAAGCACCTGCTTAGGCAGAGCACAGTGGCCCAGGTTCAATCCCCAGTGTGCTGTGCTGGCCCCGCCCCCACCCCCATGTCACACAGAGGGCAGTTAAGACTGGGCATGGTGGCGTACCTATAATCCCATTGCTTGGGAAGCTGAAAACAGGAGAATCACTACGAGTCCAATCTATGTAGTGAAAGCCTACAGACCCTGTACTAAATACATAAAAAATAAATAACATAAGTAAATAAATAAATAAAATGTTACCATATATAACAGGAGGAGGATAATGGAAACCAATTTACAAGTAATCTAGGTTTTGTAATTACAGCTTAGTACTTTAAATAATAATGATTAATATGACCAAAGAAATAGAGGAAAAGGCAGAGAATTTCATCAGATTATGAGTATTTTTATGAAGACCCAATGAAAATTTTAGAGCTGAAAAATACAGTAGCTAAAATTAAGACCTTTAAGATAGTCTTTAATCTGCATGGCCTCATTGTCAAAAGAGACAGAGAAACTAGAAAGTTATGAAGGAAATTCTAAAAGGGAAGGAAACTCAGGCAGGGAGAAACCCACAAGCTGTAGAAACTCTGTCCGAATCCTTGACTAACTCTTAAACTGCCTGTGTGAAGGACCTTCGTAAGGACAGCCAGAAAAATCCTCCTGGAAATTAAAAAGTTAAGTAGTCTCCACCTTCTCACTGCAAATTGACAATCTGAAGAGTTCAGACAAGTTATATTCCTACGAGAACCAAAATTATGCCTGAGAAGTCTATTACAGAATTGAATAACTATATGTACCCCAGATGTTCAGTGTAAAATTAAAAATCACTAGACATTTAAATAGGAAAATGTAAGTCATAATGAAGATATATATCAATAAAACAAACCTTTAAATGACCAAAATTTTGCAAAATAGAAGACAGATTCATAAAACAACTACTGAAGTATATTCAAGGACTTAAAATATTCACAATGAATGAATGAATGAATGAAGCGACTTTCAGCAGATATCCCTTTTTGAAAGAAAAATGGAAGTTATACAGATAAAAAGTAAATAATTGAAAAATTCACTGGAGGTGCTTAGCAGATTAAAAATGAAAGAAATGGAAATAAATGAATTTGAAGATAGGTCAATAGGAATTTTCTAATCTGAAAAATGCAAAGAAAAAGATTTAAAAATAAGAGAATCAGTCTATGGGATATGTCATGCAGTCTGACATTGGTGTAGTTGGAGTATCACAGGCAAAAAAAAAAAAGATAAAAATTATTTCATGAAATAATAGCTAAAAACATTCTAAATTTGTGGAAGAAATAAAAGTTCAGATCCAAAATACTCAAGCAGAACAAATACAAATAAAACCATACCTAGTCATGTTATAGTTGAACAGCTGAATTTTAGAGATAAAATTTTGAAAGCAGCAAGAAAAATACTGTCATATAACATATAAAAAGCATTATGAATGATGTGGGACTTTTCATCATAAGCAATATTTGCCAAGACACAATGAAAGAAATCTTGTGAGTGTTAAAATCTGTCAGCCCAGAATTCTATATCTTGAAAAATTTTAAATGAAAGTGAAAAAACACATATTAAAATGAATAAAAATTAATGGTTAAGAAATGTATACTATAGAAAATAATGAAAAAAATAGCATCAGACTAATAGGTTGTTATACCAGAGAGTAAACTGAATCTACTGAGTAAATATAAAATACTATATATTTTTTCTTCTACTTAAAAAGTACATATAACTCTTTAAAGCAAAAATTACAGGGCCGAGGATATAGCTAGGTGGCACAGTGCCTGCCTGGCAAGTGTAAAGTCCTGAGCTTGATTCCTGATATATATATATATATATATATATATATATATATATATATATATATATATATATATATATATATATATATATATATATATATATATCACATTTAATAGTATATTAATAATAATCAGTTCATGTTAGTTGAACCTGCGTATTTAGTCATACTTTAAAAAGGAAACTCGGGGGCTGGGGAGATAGCTCAGTTGAATAAGTGCTTCCCTGGCAAGCACAAGGGCCTGAGTTCAATCCCCAGCTCTGCCAAAAGAAAAAAAAAAAAAGGAAACTGGACTGAGTTCAATCCCTGATATGCAAAAAATAAAATAACAAGGAAACTGGAGGGGCTGGGGATACAGCTCAGGGGCACAATTATCTGCTTGGCAAGCAAAAGATCCTAAGTTCAATTTCTGTTACCAAAAACAATAGTTATAGAATTGCAAAAAATATTTTTTATTAACATTTAAAAGGGAGGGCCAGGAATATAGCTCAGTGGCACAGTGCCTACCTGTCAAGCACAGACCCTGGGTTCAATTCCTGGTACAAAAAATAAGGTTATGAAGGGAAACAGAAGAGCTAAATTTTTTAAGAATTAATATGGAATAATAGAGGCTGTGGACAGTGCTGGGCCTGCCCTCCATTCCATGATCAAGGTCCAGGTGAATAATGTGGTGGTTCTGGACAACTCGGTCCCCCTTCTGCAACCCATCCCATTCAAGATCACCTTCAAATACATTGAGGACCTGAGCAAAGACTTGGAGTGGAAAATTATCTATGTGGGTTCTGCAGAAAGT